TAGTAGTAGTAGTAGTAGTAGTAGTAGTAGTAGTAGTAGTAGTAGTATTTGTTGTTGTTGTTGTTGTTGTTGTTGTGGTAGGGGTAGTGGTAATTGAATTCGGTGGTTTTATCAATCAAGCGTCTACATTATGGTGTAAAGAATTTCAGTTGAACTCGTGCCAACAGATCGAGTTTCTCGAGACTCGGTGGATGTTGGTTGCCTCAGGTCGGACCAAAGCATGTGTGCCTTAGGGTAGAGGCCCGATCATCCACAGTCATGCATGGCCAAAGGATTAGTGCATTGATGCTGAGGAGAGGAAAAAGGAACCACTCTTTTGGCCACCCACAAAGAAGATCAAAGAAGACTTATTTTCACTCGGAAGTGCTGCTGTAGTTCACCAAGGACCGGCAAGAGAGCGCAAAGCCAGCTTTTAGTCTTGGCGCTTCTGCGAACGATCTGGGCGGATGCCCCGTGGAGCTTTGGCACTGCACTCACTGCGAGAAGAAGACCAAAGAGACATGGACGCCTCCAGTGGACGCGAAGGGTGTGAATCAAAGACCCAAAGAATGTGCCACAAAGGGATGTGTCCTTTGGCCAGACACGATCGCTTTATGATTCTGAGATGCTTGATGATGCTTTTGGTGGTTTCGTCCAGGTTCACAGGTTCTTCACGGCATAATGTGCCCTGAGAATAGGGCCCTGTAAGACACTTGTGCTTTGTTGCCAGGGTGTAGGCCACAGGACACACAACCTGTAGGAAAACTCCAGGGTCGTCTCAGACTCAATCTGAGAGTATTGCCATGTATTGCCAAAGAAAAAAGAGCTGTATGTTTGTTCAAAAAGAAAAGTCAAGCTCGGCCACAAACGCTTCCGTCGTCATCAGCTCCGACAGCGAAGGTTTATTTGGCGGCGCCCAACCGAGCCTATTGCTGCTGTTCCTGCAGCAAGGTGGCGCGTTCAAAGAACTCGCCTGAGTTGGTTTTAGAATGCGTGTTCCAAAAGTTTCTCAAAAGACATTCTTAGAAAGCCCACTACGGACATCATTGATTCCTTGTGGAAGACGAACTTTAAACCCCGAGCTGGCCGCAAATCCCATGTTATTTTTCGTGTGACGAGTGGATACGAATTTGACTTGCTATTAGCAAGGACGCTATTAGGTGGAGGCCATTCCTATTAGGTTCCTTTCGCTACTAAAAACAAGAAGCTACTAGGAGCAAGAACGCTATTAGGTGGAGGCCATCGCAAGTAGGTTGGTTGGAGGCCATTGCTACTAGAAACAAGAAGCTACTAGTTGCGAGTAAAACTGAATTCCTTCTCTCCACCGTCCAGGTGACGCCGGCGCCCGGCTACATGCCTCCCAGCCCCCAGCGCTTGGCGCCCCGAAGGGAGACGAAGACGGAGTCCCGGGGTGGGCCGAAGAAATGGCCCGGGCCGGGGCAATATGACACTTGTTAAAGCAATTTCCTTGCAGCACGACGTTCATGTGAAATTTTGAATATGAATGAGCAATAAATTGAACCACACAACTTTGATTTACATGTCAAATATGTTTGAGATTGAAGAGCAAGAGTGATGAATAAAGAGAAATTGTGAACATATTGAGTTATAAATACAATTATACTTTGGACATGTTTATTATGTTTATTCAAATTTGAAATGAAAGACGATCAATATTTATTTTTATCTGTTTGATGTTTTTTTAAGACCTTCTTAAATGACAATGTTTTATGTTGTGATTGTTTCTTGGCCTTTCTTTCTTCCACTTGCTTTCACTAGGCTACCACTACTGATGTGCACCTTCCCTTGAAATTGCATTCTGTCAAGCATGAAAATGTTATTTACCAAGGCAGCAGCTCCGTACTTGATTGTTTGCAATTTCCACACAGCTGATATCATCATTTCATGATCCTGACAATTCTAATCTTGAGCTTGGCAAACCGGGATTGCTGCGCTTCCAAAAGGTGCTTATCTAGACTCACATGGCTTGTAACACCTGTGTGTGTGTGACTTGAGAACATCTGACTGAGAAACTCCGTTGGCCATATGCAATATAGGACCCGACCCTGACCCAAAAGTAGAACTCCACAAAATCTCTCGAGCAAGGTTGCAAATCTACCTTCATTGCAACCAACTGTTGGCAATTAGCAAAGCATTCTACTGCAGAATCCATGCGTTCTGGACCAGAAGGCCACTGTGCCTTGGGCTCCTGAATCTCTGTGTGCAAAGAAGCGTTTCGCGCACACAATGGGTGCGCGTCAACGGTGGCACTGCTCAAACTAGGGAAGCAGTGCAGTTTCGCTTCAGAAGGACTTGCTAATGGCGTTTGGTGCTTTGAAGGCCTTTGCGAAGCCTCTGCGGAGATGTCAAGTGCTCAAACGCGAGGCAAAATGCAAATTTTGCGTGTGCACGGTGAACCCTATGTGGAGATCGTGCGTGTCGAGGGCTCCGACGTGAGGCTAATGGCGCCGGAGGTCGTAAGTTGCTAAAGTGCGTCACTGTCGTCAAAAACGCAGGTGGAGGTTGCCAGAGTGTGTAGCTGCTGTCGAAAACGGTGGAGTTTGCCAAAGTGTACACTGTATACCTGTCTCATCGAAAACGGAGGTGGAGGTTGCCAAAGCGTGCAACTGTTGCTACGAAGGTGGAGGTCCAGTGGAGGTTGCCAAAGTGTGTAACTGCCGTCGGCATGGGAACTTGGTCGGATATAGTGCGAGAAGAAGCTTCTGGGAGCTCTGGTACCAGAACTGGCCACTTGGTAGTACAAATGTAGTGGCCAAATTCCGTTTGTGATGTCTGTGTGCCATGCGGATTTGCGCCGCTGCGGTGGAAAGTGCATTTGCGTGGGTCCGGCCCATTGGGAGAAGGAAAGCCTGCTGGTGTAAATTCGGCCCGAAATGGCACGCTTGCAGTTCGCACCAGCATTCTTTAGCACCAAAAATGTATTCAACATGTTTTCACACATGTACATCTTCAGTGAGTCGTTTAGGCAAACAATATAGATTTCGTGAAAGCCACTTGCCCAACAACAGGGCCATCAATTCAACTGCAACAGGCTCAGCTCAAGTTTCGCCACATGGCTGCCTATCCGAATATACGCAGTTTGGTTGCAAATGCTTGGTCACATTCCTTTGGCTCCTACGCTGTCCAGGAACAAATGGTTTTTTCAACTTGTGGTTACGAAGCGTCCTTGAACATGCGTAGCAAGCATTGGCATGCAACACCATGCACCTGTGATAGTTTCAAACCAAAGGCAAACCAGCCCACAGCACCTCCCCAACCAACAAGTTGCTCAAGAGATGAGAGCTGCGCCAATAATTAATAACGTAATTAAGACCGACAAACTGCCCGCAAAAGCGCACCGTGCCCCACCTGCCAACTGCGGAAGCCAATCGCAAATAAGCAGAAAAAAACCCAAAGAGGTAGCACAGAGGGTTCCAGTCACTATCAACTTTGACACAATGCCTCTCATAACAGATGGATGATCAAACGTCTGCAAACCACCATAGAAACCTTTGGAAACAAGACAGATAGTCAGACAGATATGTTTCCAAACATGCAACAGCGAAAGCAGGTTGAGCCAAATACAGAGGAAAACCATCCACAAATTTCACCGCGCACTTCTGGCATAGCTGGCGTGCACCACTTGGACTTTTGCGGTTTGAGAGATACGGTGAACTGATGCTACACCCGATGCTACATGTGAGGCATAACAATACAAATACAAAAAATAAACAAAACATCTATACCAGGACCATTTCATGGGTCACATGGCTGGTCTACCCTCCACTACTTAGTGATCTTTAGCCAGGGCACCCATACAGGATGGTCCAAGTATGTATACATATTTTGTGTGGGTTTCTGCAATCTAACTTTAAAGTCACTGGAAATTACAGGATCATGTGTATGTTCATTATCTTGGGATGCTCACCAGGAATATTTAGCCTATAACTATGAATTATTAATTATGAATGGCAGCTCAGGACTTGAAGAGCACCTTGGATGGGGTAGACTTTGTCAAGGGCAACAGCTGGGTGAAGCCCGAAAAGAAAGACAAGGAGAAGGAGAAGAAGGACCGGTTGGGTCGGTTTCACGGGTAAAAGGAACATTGAACAGTTTAGGCTGCACTTTGAAGCCTTGGAGATTATGGGAAATATAGAAAAACACATGTGAATGTGACGGGTAAAGGGAACAGTTCTTTTTTTGGCTAGACTTTGAAGTCTTGGAGACTATGGGCAATGTATAAGACACATGTGAATAAGTGAGGTATATGGTTTCTCTCCAGTGTTGACTTGTAAATCATGTGGGAGAGTAGCTGCCCCCCGTTGCACGCCGTAGGAACGGAGTGTCCGGTTCCGGTTCCCAAGGGTCGCTCCCTCGGTGCTCCACCAAAACCGCTGCAGCACAGGGGACGCCTAAAGCGACTCCCGATCACTTGGAGTGGCCTTCCAGCTCCAGGTGGTGTATATTAGGGAGAAGTTGGACCCATTGGTTAGCGGTCTCTCATATTTCAAGCATCCCCCTCGTTTTGAGCGCCCCTGCTTGATAGCAAATCAGTATGTTGTTGTTGCTGTTAAGAAACACCTCCTGGAAGAAGGACAATATGTCTACCATTGGCTAGGGGTGTCCCTATTAGCCGCAGCCTAGAACCTGAGTGACCTCCACAAAATATGGTCCAACTTCCTATCAAAATAGAGGTCATGTCTGGCTTCGACACCTCCCAACTCCGGCTCCTCAGGACCCAGGCCCTGGCCACTTCGACCCCCGCTACAGTGCCGTGACCCGCTCGGCGCCCAGCATCGGCTTCGGCTCCGGAAGCCGCTGGCGCGAGATCAAGCGGCTGCCGAAGCGTGAGAAGGGCCCTGGACCGGCTGGGCCAGGGCCTGGGGAGTACAACCAGAGTACCTTGAGTGGAAATAAGATGAAGCTGGGTCTTATAGAAGAAGAGTTGATTGTGATTGATTTTGTATCTTTGCATAGGATGTGTTTTTGATGTTGTGTTTTGGCAGTGGATGGTGTGGAGCTTGGTCTTTTCTTCAGATACACAAGTGCTGTTACGCTGTCGGAGCAAATTATTGGGGGCGTCTTTGTGTGTGTAGTTGTTTGTGTTCTCTGCAGATTTGGCAAAACACAACAAATCCTAGGATGGCACGTACCCATTCAGTACTTGTGTTTCCTGGTTTCATCTTGGCTTCAAGCGCTTCTAGGCGGTTATGGGATCTGGTTGGAGCATCCCCCAACCACCTGATGGAGGCTTCAGTCCAAAAAGGGTCCACCTGTGCTCGCGTTCTCCAAGGAAGAACTCCACTGCGGTGACCATCAAGGGCCCTTGGCCAGATCGTGGGCGTCCCAACAGCAAGCCTGGGACGCCCAACAACGCGACCAACGAGGAGGAAGTGGTCGAGGCCCTTGCTCCGGTCACTTGGTGAGGAGACATGGATGTAGGAGTTCCACATCAGCTGACCGCTTATTAAGTCTTAAGTCTACTATACTAGGTCTGATCGTGTGAACATGGTTGAAGAAAGGTGGTAGATATATGCATCAACAGCTTGGCGGCGTTTCTATCCTACTATATATATATATGAATGATTTGGGAACTTTGTGCCTCCCAGGGTTTCAAAAGACAGCCACGTTTTGCAAGTGGAGACCATGAGGAAGGAGGCGAGATTTTGCCTCTGGCAGCGCTTGAAATGCATTTATAACCATATAATGATATATGATATACGCATATGTTTTCTAGATTGCAATGTTTAATCTACGATATGTTCCTATCCTGATGTGCTCAGCAAGTCCAAGGTCGGTCCAGGCCCGCCGATCACCACATTCAAATCCAAACGAAGTTGAGATGATGGCTACAAGAAAACGTGCTGAATGTTTGGGGCTGGACAGCTCCCAGCTCCTCCCTCTGAGTTTTTGTTATGGTGCATGGCATTGTAATCAAAGACATTGCGAGAGATGCCAATGCCACAGAGTGAGAACGCAGCTTAAGGAACCGTTGCTTGGAAGGTCTTAACTTGTTAACTGTCTATCCAAACAAGCACGACAAGCACGGTCGACGGTGTGTTCGGTGCCCTTCCAAACGGCGGCATGTTTTTGTTGGATCTTTTTGATGGGTTCCACCAGGGTGGGTGAGTTCACTACCTTTTTCATGTCCTTCGCCAACCTGGGGAGCGCGCAAATCCGATAGTCGATAGTTCCCAGATGTGACTTTCTGATGACCTCTTGGAAATGAGCAACATTTTAAAACTGAAGTAGTGAATGACTACCACACGGAAAGACTCCGATGACTATGTTTCTTTGCCAAATAAAAACCATCGAATCAGTCGACCAGCATGGTTCAATCATTGGGATGACTCAAAGCTTCACCCTGGTCGACCGCTGCCGGCGGCTCGCGCCCTTAAAGGGCGAGTCCGTGCGTAAAAGTGGGCGCTGCAGATGGGAGGAGGCGACTCAGACATGGCAGACACAGCTAGTGGTGAACTAACCTTGTTGTTGGGCGTATTTCTTGAGCAGTTGGGAGTCAGACTGCTGACTAGCCAGACCATTGACTCCCACCATCTGAGCAACTAGCCAGATCATGGACTCGGAAACCACTTATGCGAGCACTTCCACCTTTCTGCGATGCGTCCGCACTGCAGGGCGACGTCTCGCGTCACCAGACTGCGAATGCAGACTGCGGCCATTTATCGTGTGGAATACAAAAGAGGCGTGTATGTGTAGGTGGTTGGATCTGGGAATGGATCAGAACACTTACAACTGATCAGAGCACGTACATTCCGTTTCTGAGTCAGCCATCGGCGCAGAAATCAAGCCACCGGACCTAATGTAGGCGGTCCGTTTGGTCCATGGGCAGAGGTCTCGCGCTTCTACAAAGAGGTTCATGGCCACACCGCGTGGATAAAGGGCATCAGGTCAACCACCTACTTGGCTTTAGCTCGCACTTGAGTGAGCTCAAAACGCGCCACCCAGCCCTTCCCTTGAAACCAAGGGTACCTGTACAGATTCAATCACCCAAGTCCGTCCCCGAGTGTGAAACCTGTCAGCGCTCCACCCTTCCTCAGCTTAGGTAAGCATCCCCTGCCCCACGAAAGCCTGCGACGAAAGCTCAATAGATGGATCCCCAAAAACCGCAAATCTGATTGGAGGTTTTCTTGTCAATGGGAGATTGCCAAAAGTAGCATGCAGGGTTTGTCCAACTTCTTTGGGGTGGGGAGTGTTTTCAATTCTACTGGGTTTGACTGACCATTGACCTCAGGAACTATAGCTCCTATGATATCAAGCTGGCCGTGGATTTGCACACCCCCAGTCAAGGCCAGCAAGACGTCTGGGCGGCCAGGGCAGCCAGGTTATGTGTGTTGTTTCTGTTGTTTCTCCAGGTCACCGGGTTGAGGTAAGTTGGTGCCTTTTGATAGAATTAGATTGTCTTTTACAGTACTCGTACTGAATATCAGAACCGAGGCTCAGTGACTGTCAATTGAATGAACGATTTTTTGAACCTTGAAATACCTTGACAGCATGCTGTACCTAGCAACAACGACCACCCAGAAAATGCATGTCCATCGAAGAGGATCCTCAACTTTAGGGAAAAACACGAAAAAACCGAGGTTGAGTTAGAACCTTCCCGCAGTGACTGCAATTGAGGATGTGCAGGTGCTTCCCACTCTAAGGTTGCAGTATCCATGGCTCACAGTACTACTTAGACATACTGCCTATCATGATCTCTCATGTATCAGAGCCATGTTTCTTTTGTATCCAAACCTTCCCTTCGGATCCGAAATCGCAGGCCACTGACCGTCGTGGTAGCTGTGAGAAGCCACCGTCCAGGTAGCTCTGAGAAGGTCGTGACCACCATCACAGAGTCCAACTTTCGACATATGTACTGGACACCGCGGCAGAGTCTTGGGCTCCATAAGACCGTGAAGAGGACCGGAGAGTGCTGGGACGGAGTAGGATCATGGCGCCGGGACAGTTTGACCACCGAGAATGAACAGAATAGACTACCTGGGAGGTCAACGTACCCTGGTTTGGGACTTGAAGGTTTGGATCCTCAGCCATTTGGGATTGATGAACACTATGAAGGATCGATGAAGGCTCCGGGCTGTGAATGTTCCGCAATGTTCCACATCTGCGGAGTCTTTCTTGTGCATCGTGTGTGTGTGCGGACGACGTGTCCTAGCTCATTTGCGTGTTCTTGTGGTGAATCAGGAGTTCGGAGTTCTATGACAGAATTAGTCCTTTGAAACCAGAGGGCATCCTCCAAATGGCTGCTATGTTTCAGATGTTTTTAAGCCATGTCCCGGACAGGCCCTAAGGGAACGACGCCCGGAGCCAAGATCAGGGCGTTTGGGGTATCCCCACGGATTCAATAAGCTGCACCATACATTGGGCATTGGACATGTTGATTGGTAGGAAGCACCAGGTCAAAGCTCTAAGATTCAGCCTCCAGGCGTTCAGGCACCAAAAGGCTTCCAGTTCTGCAGCGCAAGGCTAGAGGTGGAAAACCCGTGGTCCACCACAGCGCGCAACGCGAAGCATACCGCCTTGAGGCAGTTGGTCCACCACAGCGTCACTGGATGCAATATGCAACCTGGTGACCTCCTGGGCTCTGGGACCATCTCTGGAACGGAGCAGAGGAGAGAGAGAGAAGAGACAAACATGCCACCCGGTGGAGTCCTTGGGTCCTTGGGTCCGAGCACCGTGGGGGTGCGCCGTGCCCGTCCAGCGATGGCTTCGCGGCCCGTGGCGGATCATGAGCACCCAACTAGCTCAAACTGTATCCGCAGCAGTCCGATCCAGAGTCCCGTTGGTGGTGGCTTTGAGCACCCATCCCCGGGCGCAGCTTAGCAGTTGGCACAGCTCGGCAATTGTAAAGTTCTTTCAACTGAACAGGCAATCTGATGATAAGGCTTTATACATCTATATGCCCAAATGCCCTCAAACTACCTCGCCAGGGGTGTTGATGGTGTCGTATCTTCCCCCAGGAGCTTCGGCTCGATGCTGGAGCTCTCCTGGCGCGGCGCGCACGAGATCCCCTTGAGCGATGGTCAAGCCAGGAAGTTCCTCCAGGATGGCGATGCGCCTGGGTAACGGTGGAAGACGGTGGGAAGATGGGGAGGGAGGGTTGCTAGGATCCAAGAGAGGTTCTTCACAGCCCTATATATCACCCATCCCACATGTACCACTAGAGGGTCCTAGTTCAGATTTCTCAACCTCTCTTGGATGGGTGGCTGCTAGGTGATGCATGTCGGGGTGGATTTGGAACGAGGGTTACGTGTGGAGTGCTCCGAGTGTCCAAGTTCAAAGCACCATGAGCTAAGAGAAAGTGGACGAGAAGCCACCATGTTGGACAAATTACAGCCACAGTCTTTGTTCCTGCACTCGGTTTTGTTGGTGGCTGCGCAATGCAGGTGGATGTTTTTTGGAACCTCGTGAAAACACGGCGTGCGAGGTGTGCAACATCCGCGGCTACTGCCAGGGCGATGGCTATCAGATTGGCTTTGGCGATTGCAACTCCTACCTCCGCACAGATGCAGTTCGGGGAAGGGATGTATCTTTTGTTCCAAGCACAGATTTAATGGTGTGAAGCCCGAATAACCTTTGTTTTACTGAGGATTTGGACTACAAAACCAGGTCTTCACCTTTGATCTTGTTGGCGGCCAGGCAGCCAGGGTATCCAAAGACTCCTCAATCAAGAATTATCAAAAACATGGAAGACTTATGAGCAGGATCGAGCTGGCCGCCCAAAAAGATAAGTTCCGCATAGTTATAGTTCTATGAAACGACGTGAAGGTTCCTTCGTAGGTTCGACTCGTTGTAGTGCCTGTGGAAATGGTTCCTTTGCAGTAGTGGTTATAGATACTACTAGAGATTTGTGACCTAGAGCCAAATCTTCCAAGCACTAGCCTCCTTCGAACAAACCGTGGATGACCTGCCAGGGTGCTTGAGAAGATTGATTATTTATCTACAAATGGTCTTGTGGTTTCTACCTGACTTTTTGGAAGTTCCTTCGCTAACCTTCAAGCACTTGCGCCTGATTGCAGGTCTTTTTTGGTACACACACATGAAGACTTGTTGCCCATCCGAGATCATCCAAGCTGATCGCATGTTTGTGCGCGAAAGCTGTCGCTGAGGTAGTGGCGAAGTCTTGCCAGCTGGAGCTCTTGACGAGGCGAGTTTGGAAGCAACGCCGAACTCGTTTGAGGGACCGAACTTTTTCTCGGCCAGGATGATGTTCAATGAAAAAAATATAAATTTGAATATATGTATTAATTATTTAATTCATGCATCACTTAATTTGCTTGGTGTGTAAATCAGGAAGAGTTCGAAAAGGCAGTCAACGCAGATTACCTTGGGGAAAAATATCCACTTGAAAGGACAGAGCAAGTCCGTCCAAGGGTCATTTACACTCCGACGAACACATCACATGGAAGTGGTTTCCCACCCTGTTCGTCGAGGAAATGAGTCATCCCAAGGGTCCATTCTCCACTTCTAGTTGATGTGTTTGTCAAAAGTCTACTGACTTTTGTCTTTTTGTGTGCTGAAGGGACTGACTATGCACGTCATGCAAGATGCTGGCGCATGTGACGGATCCTTTCGGCAGCGACTTGACTTGCCAAGCTTCTGTGATTGCACATCTTATTGAGGATAGGTGAAGATCCAAAAGATCCCAAAGGTCCGACTAGCGGTGTCCCAGTTTGTCTTACCCAGGACTCCGTGATGCCGCTCCAAACAAGAACCGGTGGAGTCCCATCCTGTCCCACGCGAATCGATCATGAGATCTGTTTTCATCAGGGATAGACCGGTGGCATGAATCCGTGGCATATGACTTAACCTGAAATCATCCATGGAAGTGGAGTTCACCAGGTTCACCACCTGTTTGGTCTTCGAACACCTGGAAAGCACCCCAACTATTCCACTGAACCATGGCATATCGTGGCAGAGCGGACCGCGGGCGGTCGATGTATTGCAGGCAGCCTTGGTAGCGTTGGTCGATGTATTGCAGGATGAACCCAGTTGGGGTTGAACCGCTGGTGCAGAGGTTTGTGGGATGTAAAGCATGGCCTGGTGTTGCTTAGGGTATCTTCGGGTGATGTTCTGTTTTCCTGGTGGGTGAATTTCCTTCTGGGGAAGATGTGTTTATTCGGTTCCTTGAGCAAATCCAACCAAGTATACGATCATATCATCATATGTCCTCATTCTTTCCCTACCAGTCAAGTTGTTCGGGGGTTCACAACTTGCCTCCAGGCCAAAGCGGCTGGTGCGGCCTCGAGCCCCTTGCAGGTGCGAGTCGTCACGCGCGCTCAATCCGCGCGGTTCTGGGTGCCGATGCGAGTCCCGACCGATGCGAGTCCGCGGCAATGGCAGTTGAGTTCGTTGGTGAGATGTCTTGAAGATCTTGAAGAAAACACAACTCTTGGAGTCTTAGCGAATCTTTCAAAGCGTCCAAAAAAAACAACATCAAAAGCATCCAATGGCAGCATTTAGGTCAGATGTGTTCCCCTGACGTCCATTGGCTTCATGTCGACCGTCAGACCTTTCCGGGGTCGCCCGAACCGCGCTCCGCCAGGACGTGGAGCTCCACGGCTACTGGCGCTCGACCGCCTCCTGGAGAGTGCGCATCGCCCCTTGGCCGTGGTCAGGTCGTGGTCACCCGGGGTGGGCGAGGGTCGCCATGAGCTTCCCTGGTTTGGGGCGGAAAGAAGAGCGTCAGATAAATGGCGAATGGATTTGATGGCTTGCATTGCATTCTCAGCTTGGACAGCAAATTCCAAGGATTGACAGCCTGACCAACCAAATTGCTTGGGGAAAGCAAGAGATGTGCCCGCCGTTCCTCCAAGTTCGGTGAGTTGGTCCGAGGGTCGGCCCTCTACGTCTTATACGTCTTATATACCCGTAGTTAGTGGATGTTAGTGGCCGACCTCGCAGGAAGTCGGAGATCCACGGAGCGGGGGGGTTCTGGGATTCGAAGGTGGGAGGCTTCTGGCGCCGAGGAGGCGCCAAACAGTGTTAGTGTTGGGTTGGATGGAGTTCCATGGGGAGCTGGCAAAGGGCAGCTCTGCATAGAGATGGAACATGTCAGACAAAGGTGAAGTGTAAAGCCACAATGAAGTGACAGGCAAACAAACTTTTGAGTTTGCCTCACCATTAATTGGTCTATATATGTCTATATATGTCTATATTAGTTTTAAAAAGGTTTGAACATGTGTCCTGATGGTGGTTTCCTCCATACCGATACCTTTCAACCAAATTCGGGACTCCACTTGGCCTGGTACAATCCATTCCCCCAACCCAGCCAGATCGGGTCCCCGTGGAACAGCGAGGCTTTAGCGCATCATGGGATCCACTACAAGAACACTCCGGTCGCTTGGGGGACGGACCCCAGCAGGGGACATGGAGGACCTGTCTCTGGTGATGAGAATGGGCTGTGAGTCTAAGCCTGGATTCTGTTTCCCCCTGGTAGGTACCTACCATGTCTTGTGGTCTGTGAATGGTTCATGTTCGCTGAACACCCCCCGGGTTCCACCCTAAGCCACATCACATCAAAGCGTTAAAGAGTAGATCCATGTGGCTATCTGACTTCCCATCCAAGGGTGTTGGAGTTCAGGATATGTCAGGTAACGGAAAGGGGTCTCGGTTGAGATGCAAACATCGGAACTGCCATGTGGTCAAGGCCCAAGGCACATCTGTTTGTGAAGGTCTCTTTCTTTGGGAGCCCAGTTATAAGGGTCAGGATCACGGATAGCAAGAGCTGGATAGCTTGCACTCTGATCCAGAAGGATAGAAATATATGGATCTAGGCACTCACTTCATCTCATTTCCCTATCCCCAAGATCATTTGCTTACCAGGACCATCCAACGTCTGACTGGGTGATACGCCACGCCGCCACGTCCGGTTGCGCGAGAGCAACTCGCCCACGCAACGGTCGTTGGAAAAAATAGGAACCAGAAATATGGGACCTCTGAAAGCATCCGAACTGCCTGGAGTTCCAAACACAATAGGTGTTTCCAATCTTTTGGAGATCCTAAGTGAGTGGAGCATTGGGGAGAGCATTGCCCATGGGGACCCTCCAGGTCCTGGCATGTGTTCCAATGGCTGTCGGATTGTTAAGTCTTTGAAGATTGGTTCCCATAGACCGGGTGAATGGGTCGCCACAGGTGAATCTCATGAAAAATGAGCACCAGAGCGCCTCCTATGCCGGGTGCCTCGAGAAAGAACGGTCCTTCCGTTTCTTCAGACCGAAGAGTTGGTGTTTGCTTCTCGTCGTGAAGAATTGATGAATCTAAAGGCATGGGGAGACCTCCACCGGCTCCTTATAGTATATACCAGGGGCCCTCAAACCATGAAAAAACAAAGGTTTTCAGATACAAAAACCAGGTTTTTTGCTAGAGAAAACCAGGTTTTTGATGCTTTGTGGGGCCCCTGGTAGCTATATATATAGCTGTAAATGAACATGTATATAGCATATCCATGTATATCCCATTATATCCCTATTATAGGTATTGCACTATTTAGATGTTATAAAATTGTAAGATTGTGACATCCTTTTGAACATGTGCCCCGGCTCTGACTACGCGGCTTGTTCTCCACTTGGCTGAGAACATCACAAACTGCCGTGTAAGTGGATGTGTCAGGAATCAATGTCCTTTTTCAGGAACTTGGGGGTTGCGTAAGTCTATGTTGCTTTTCTTTCTTGGGAACCACGGAGAGCAAACGAACGTTCATGGGATGGCCTGGAGCCTTTCGGGGCTTTCGACTTGACCAGCGTGACCACATCGACCCTCTTGGGGGCAGACAGGTGAGCAAGATGTTAGGAAGTCAGCTTCTTCATAATGACCCCCTGACAAAAAGAGTTAGATCGAAAAGTATCGCAACGTCTTCATCTTTTTTATTTATAGAAAAGGTTTTCGCCGGCACCACGGTGCTTGAAAACCGGTGCTCCCACCACGGTGCTTCTCTTGGTTTTCCCACCGAAATCCCGAGACCGGAACCGGTCGGGGTCAGGCCCAAGTGTCCAGCATGGGTCAGGCTGGCAGCCACCGTTTTGGGCGGAGTGGGCGTTTTGTGGACGGTGGTTTGAAGGGAATCAACAAGGGACTTCACGTAATTATATATGATGCATATGGGGATAAAGGAGTGTATTTAAAAGAATATACATGATTCCATGATCTTTTTGAAGTCGGAAAAATGTTTGATCCAGCCAAACTTGCTTTGCCCCACGGAGTTGCGGATCAGATGTGCTGCACACCGAGAGCATCCTTTTTGGTCCGACATGACGCGTGCTTGCTCGGTGAAACGGATTCTTCGGTGAAATGGATTCCGTGTCCGATGCAGAAATCCAAACATTTTTGTCCACAGTACAACTGCAGCCAACTCTTCCTTTGCTAGTTATTCAAGCTTTAGTAAGGACTGGGTGTATTGCTGGTAATTAGCTCATCATCGTCTTCCGGAGGGTGTTGCAATGAATATTGATCGCCAAGCTGCATGCATCAAAGCCTTTGGATGCTCGAGGGATTTTTCAGGGTTCGGACCTAGATGCGGATTGAACTACCAAGCACCTGAGCCATCCTGATCCATGTGCTTCTTTGTTTAAATTTCATCATTTCAACCAAGCACTGCCTCCTGCCTCTGTTGCCATCTCGCGACGCCGGCCGAGCGAACGACGCTGAGAGACGCAGGTGCCGACCTTGAGTTTCACGGTGGCGGGCGAGCGGCAGAACCTGACCCAGTCCATGGCCATCGTGGAGTTCTTGGACCGTTTCCGGGTTTGGGCCGGGCCGTTCCGGGGGGAGATGGATGGTTTTGGAGGTCTGGTTGGTTGGTGAGGACGGAGGGGAGAGGGGTTTTCCTCTGAGGAAGATGTGGGAAGATGGTAACATCTGGCATTTCGACATGGGTTGGACGCTGGGATTGAGGATCTCAGTGGCCATGGCTTTCTAGGGAAAAGTGGCCAACAGCAGAGTTTTTGAGGCATAAGTGAGCTGATTCTGTCAAAAGGTAGCCAAGAGTAGAGATGTCCAGAGAAAATAGCCCAGTGTAATGATTTCTAAGACAAGTATCCCAGAGTAGAGATGTTAAGCCAAAAGAAAGGTTTTCCGGAGAAAAGGATCGAAAAGTGGACTTGTCCGGGGAAACTGGAATCTTAAAACCGGTGCTATAGCTCACTTCTGTACAATATCAGAAAACCCAACAGTCGTGATCCTAGTCTTGTGCCATGGACCTCCTCAGTCGGCTGAGATGGGCAATACCACTTGCGCTCGTGGACACCCGAACTCCTGGATGCCAAGTCATCAAGGTCGAGTACGATGCACAAAACATCCGCACCATCTAGCTACCACCTTAAATCCATTGCAAGAAGGCTGCAGAAGGTTGGCCAAGGGTTACACAGTTTGTCGCTCAATTCTTTGGGGGAGGGAATCGATCGGAGATTTCAGAAGGCGTAAGGGCTGCGCAAAAGTAGCGAAAAGTAGCCTAAAGGTACAGATTGATTTGATGGCTGCTGCCCCAGAAAGTAGAACATATCCTAGAGTAGAGTCTGGTAGTAGCTATTCCTAGAGGCAAGCTGCCAGAAGTAGAGCCTTGGTGTTTTTTCGATCTTTTTTTGTGTGTAAGACCTGCAAGTTTCAGCTTGTTGCCCACCACGTTGTTTTAATCTCAACAACGCAAATAGCGATTCATGTCAAGGTTGTCAATACATGTTCTTGTGTGTTATCTACCTAGTCGTACAAGAGGGGTTTGCCCCATGAACTCTCCAGCCGCTGGCGTGAACACACGCAGCCCAGCCCAGCCGGCTCCGTCAGGACTCGGTGTCCACTGGCTCGCCGCTGATCCCGCCCACCGATGGAACGGTTGAAGGCCCGAACGGAGCCGAGGAGGGCGGATGGGGAGTTGGAGGGTCCTTCTTGGGGCCTCGGAACTGAAGAGAGAAGGTGTGGGAACCAATGACAAGGAACCTTTCGCACTCAGATGTTAATATATGTTGATGGGTAAACATTGAAACAAGCACTGAAACGACCACATGCGGGGGCGAAGCTTAGAAGATAATCAGGAAATGCACCAAGCTGCCATTGCAACACCTCCGACACATGACTCAGTGCACTTGTTCCAAGATATTTCAATGAAGCCCCTGCCTTGGAAACTGCAATGAATGGCCACAAGTTTGATCAAAAAGGACAGGCGACTCTGCAACAAACATGAGGTGTAACACCTGAATGGAATATGACAACCCCTGAATGCAGCGAAACAGCCATATACAAAATAGGAAGTTTCACATGTGAGGACCTCAGACAGACCATGTTTCCGCAACCCTGTGTGTTTTCCAGCGTTCTCGAAGATGCTTGTTTTGGGACTCTGCATGTTGAAGGTGTTCAGACGTTGAGGACGAGACCTCGTAGTTGTTGGTAGGTGCTCGTTGTTTGCTCGTGAGTAGTAGTCTTCCCAGTTCACTGGATCTTGAGGGGGGGGTCGGCAAAAAAAGTTGCCTCTGTTTTTTGGTGGTATCCTTTTTTTGCCGACCCCCCCCCGAGGTACTACCTGTGGGGCATCAAGGACCCACAGGTCACAGGGTGAATGGCATGAAGCTCCCACAGCTCACAGGGTGAGTGGCATTACCATCACCATTGGGTGAATGGCCATTACCAGTACTATGGCCCATTAGCCTTAGCATTACCATTGCCATTAGCATCAGCATTAGCATTACCATTGGCATGCCCAGTACTATTAGCATTATCATTAGCATCAAGCCCCCACAGGTCAAAGGGTGAAGGGCATTACCATCACAATTGTCATTAGCATTGCCATTGCCATTAGCATAACCATTACTACAGGTCACAGAGTGCGTGGCCTCAACCTCCCACAGGTCACAGGGTGATTGGCATCAAGGTTCAGCAGGTGAGTGGCATTATCACCACCATTGCGATTTGCATTGCCATTGTGACCCCCATTGCCACAGGTCAAGGGTGAACGGCATCAAGCTCCTACTCTCACAGGTCACAGGGCGCATAGCTCCCACAGGTCAAAGGGTGAATGGCATTCCATCACCATTGTCATGAGCATTGCCATTGCCATTAGCATTCCCACACGCCACAGGATTACCCCTACCATTACCATTACCATCAGCACTACATTGCTATTGGCACCAGCATCAGCATTGCCGTCAGCATTGCCAGTACCATGAGCATCAGCATCGGCATCAAGCTTTTACAGGTGAGAGGGAAAATGGCATTACCGTTCCCATTAACATGGTGAATGGCATCAAGGTCCCACAGCTCACCATTGCCATTAGCACCACCACAGGTCAAGGGTAAATAACCCTTACCAGTACCGTAGCAACACCATTAGAATCAGCATTGCCATTTCGATTCCCATTCCCACAGGTCAAGGGTAAATGGTATCAAGCCCCCACAGGTCACAAGGTGCATACCTCCCACAGCATTCCATAACCATTGTCATGAGCATTACCATTGCCATTAGCATTGCCACACAGCAATGGCCATTACCGGTACCATTAGCATTGCCATTAGCATTCCCAGTGACAGGTCACAGGGTTAATGGCATTACCATCTTCATTACCACAGATCACAGGGTCCATGGCATCAAGCTCCCACAGGTCGCTGAGTGGCATTACCATTGCCACAAGTCAAGGGTGAATGGCATCAAGCTACCACAGGTCAACGGTGAATGGTTGTCCAAACTTCTGTGGGAAGCATCTAGGACAGATTACAATACCACACCCAATGCTAGACCTATTTCTTTTTTAATCAGTTTAAAAGCATCCCAAAAAAATCAACAAAAGACTGGAAAACACACCCGCATAGCGTCCCGCTCTCTTTCAACACGTGTTGCTTTGACAACCAACGTACAGTGAATGGCAATCTGTTGGCAGAATCAATTGACCAAACACCGAACCAATAGAAAAAAATCAAATAAGTTCGGCGTTCCAAGTTATCGGAATCCGATGAGCGCGGTTTCCTGGCTGAACATATTTCCTGGTTTCGCCAGCAGTTTTTTCCCATTCCTCTGGGCAGGGATGAGCAGAATGGGTCGCAAAACATATATACACACACCATGGGCACCGGATTTTCCAGTGCCATTTCAGCTCCAGAGCAAACCATTGGTCGCCCTGCCCAATGGTCGAGCCGTGGGAACAATGGGACCGAGCCATGGATCCACGCCCTGAGCGACGCCCTTCGCGACGGCGCGGCCCCATGCCCGTGAACTCCAGGTGGTTGCGACGCATCTTTCCACTCACGGAAGACGTTGAAGAATCGATGCAAGCACTGAAACTCGTCTCAGAGGCTGGTCTTAATGAATCCAAACCGATCGATGCTAGTTCGGCTGAAGGAGGCGAAGGAGGGACTGAAGGAGGGCCTCGATCGTGGCAGAAGCTTCAGGTTTCCTGGGCTAAGCTCCTGAAGCAGGCCCATCGGAAGTGTGCAGGGGCTGTGATGACAGAACTGGGCCCAGTGAAGCTGGAACCGATATATCCGGACGTCCAAGTGCAGGAAGAGTTCTTGTCGGCTCAAAAGAAGTATCAGGGTGTGATTTGGGATTCATCAGAAAATGTTCCGATTTGTAGTCGTTTCTTCATTGCTGATCTTGCTGTCCCACAGAGCCCCGAAAGTGAGGCTGTTTCTACAATAGGAACCTAAACCAGACGTTCAGTTTTGCAAGTGTCAGGTGTGTAAACTAAACCTTCATTTGAGGTGACTACCTACACCTATCACGGTACCAAGCAAGGGAACATTCGCTCCATTGCTCACCAGGGCCTTTTGCTGCCTGGTGTTGGAGGACATACTGTGAAGAACGGATCTACTCATGGTCTTGGCGTTTACACCGCTCGCTTGGGTTCTGCTGGACTATCAAAAGTCGCCTGGCTTGGTGGTTTTTAAGGTCGGTGTGGTCCCACATCTTTGGTCTTGTTCCTCTGACATCGAGAACGGATGTCGGTCTGCGTTCCTTCTTCCAGTGTGTGTTTGGAGGGTCTCGGGATCTTGAGATACACACCCATTTTGTCCATTCATTTCCATGTAGGGGTTTGTGCCATCTACTCTGAAACCACTGTATAGCAACCGGAACTCCTTCCATGGCCTCTTTCAGAGGTGTCTTGCGCAAATCCTAAGGCCTTTTGCGATTCCGACCAGATGTTCCTCTGCGGGGTGTGCGACCCAAGTCTCCCCGTGGAGGAGATGGATGCCATGTGGGAGCCCTCAAGCACCATGGTGCAAACGCACTTTCCAAAGCGTCCAGTTGTGCCACTAGGCGAAGACATCCGCAGATTTTCTTTCAGAGTCCACCCAGCACTGATACCCTGCGCCCCTTAGGTGCAACTGAAATGCACCTATTGACATCGGGTGAAACATGAGAAGCCGACCAGGGAAGTCAGTGTTGTCCGCCGCTGAAGCATCCATCAGAATAGTTTGTTTGTCATTGTTTGTCCATTTGTGGTCCCAAAAGAATCAAGAATAGATCCTTACACGATGTCCAAGACATCTATCAGTTGGGGGTTCCACAAACATTTGCCAGTTGAGGGGTCAAGCTGGAGTGTTTCACAGATGTCCATCTCATCCCTTTGAGGTTAGACCCGGTTGCCTGAGGCCACGTGGTGGGCGCGCAACAACGCGCCATGCACTTCGCCAAAGCTGCGATGAGGTGATACATGTGGGTGATGCTGTGGTGAGTTTCAAGCAGACTCTTGGTCTTGGGCAGCTGAAAGAAGTGTTTCTTTCGAGGTAGATCCCCTGAACCTAGGAAGCTTTGAGGGAAAAGGCAAGACACATCCATGTTTAACCACGGTCGTCCCATCCAAGGAATTTGGTGGTTCCGTTGTTCTTGATCTCCGGCAATGGCTCTGAGATGGAGCGAGCTGGTTCCTTCCGACTTGCTGCTTGTTCAAGTTATTTTCTCATGATTCATCTGGGTTGGACGCATAAGGCGATTGGTGAAAATCCTGTTTCAAGACACAAATCAAGATAGCAAGCCGATTCTCTTTGGTTCACCATCCCGGTAAGAATATCCACTTCAGAATGGTAGAGCCCAGCAGGCCACTACAAACCAGAATTCTAGGTTTTGAGGGTCCCCGGAGGGGTTGGGTCCTTTTACTTTATAGCTATGTAACGCCCGGAGCCCCTGGAGAAGGTCACAACAGGAGTCTCGGCCCGGCAGCCGGCATTTTGTAGTCCGACCTAAGATCAAGGAGAAAGAGAGTTTTAGAGAGAGGAATGGAGAGTATATGGAGAGTATAAAGTAATATATATATATATATTGAGAGAATGATGGTGCCCAGCCTCAGCTTGCCATTTTTTGCAGTGACCAGTAAGTGCACTGCAGGGATTATGGTTTACTCATCTTACGCATGCCTAAGGTTCGACCATCCATTTTGTAGTGCACTTTGACTTCCCTTTTTTCAACCATATTGTATGATTGCACCCTTCACTTTATAGTACTAACTCTGCGCCCCCAGCTTTGTATCTACAAAAAAAATGCTTTCCACGGTGTCCCCGTTCTTCCAACGGGGATGGTTCACCATCTTGACCAAGTCAAAAAGGACACAAGGTTTCACACGCGATGTCCTTAAGGACATTCTTGAAGGTCAACCTTTCGATTTCGCCAAGTCCTGTTGTTCAATCTCTTCAACCACGTGAGGTCGTCGCAAACGGGAAGGGTAGTGCACGGAAAGAGTTTTGCAAACACCCATTCTAACATCGTGGAAGGTGCGGGACATTCGTGGAACCCGGGGCTATTCGTGGATGTTTCGTGGAATGGTGGGCCAGTAGGAAAACTGACTGCAACAAAATCCCACAAAACCTTCGCAGAACTTCGTGGAAGGTATTTTGATGCACTAACTTCGTATAAGCGATTTTTGCTGACCCCTCTTTCTCCACATACCCATTTAGCCTTCAGGTTCTGAAGCATCACGCTTGGATTTCAGAGGAGGAGGATGTGGAGTGGGCTCCTCCTCAGCAGGTGGCAACCCGACAGCTGGCACTGCCTGAATCAGGGAAGCTGGTGAAGTTTGGTCACTGCGGATCTGGTCGAACCGTTGCTTTGCAAAGAATGAATAAGAATGTAAAGATTCTTGGGAAGGTCGTTAAGGGATCTTAAGGGGTGCCGGACTTTTTCGAGGGGCTTGGCCTTCCCTGTGATGGTGTTAGACATCTAAAAGGTCCTACACTATACAGTTCTAGATAGGTAATTTTTCCTTACAACTTCCAAATGTAGGCGAGATGTGTTTGTCCACAGTGATCATCCGCGGTGTGCAAGGTTTGGTTGGTCCAAGATCCCTGGAGCTCTGCCAACCCGAAGGAAAGGTCCTTGAAACGCCGCCGCTTGGCCCGAGAAAGAGACCGGATGCTGAAGTGGGCGCGAGACCACAAGCGTTTGATCCGTTTAGAGCAGTAATTTTGTTGGTGCGATTCGGGAGAACTGTGCCCATCCTTACAACGCAGGATTGGGCTCATGGCCACGACCAGCCTGAAGAGGCACCTATTTCGATTCCTTGGTGTTCTGGAGTTTTGCACGCGCCGTGAAGCTCAAATGCTTTGAGGGCGCTTGTACAGTGTACAGATGTGTACAGCGTGGTGCAATGCGTTGACCTGCAGAATCCAGCAGCAAGGGGGTGGTTAAAGAGGAAGTAATGTTTGATCACTTCAGAGGCCCAGACTCATTGGAGTTTTCATGTGCGGAGCCTCATGTTCGCCCCCGTTCCTTCCCTCCTCGCAGCCTGCGGACTTTTCTTCATGGGCGACAGGTACGTTGAGAAGAGCGCGTGCGATGGAAATCGCTGAGATTGTCAACTCGGGGATGCAACTGGGCGGGACAATTTTGACGGAGCGTTCGGGGAACTGTTTGCTTTGATTGGCTGAAATTGAACCTCAGCGGGCCTCAGGTTGAAGTGCTTAAGCTTGTTAACTACTACTGCTGCTTTTCCCAGTGCTACTGGGTGCTACCTGCTCTGAACTAGTAATTACCAGCAAACCTCCTCAACAGCCCCAAATGGAGCACCTCCAACCTCTTCCCTCTTCCAACCCATTTCCGGCCTCCCAGTGTCTCATGCCAATCCGTCCTTCCGTGGCCCCCCCGCGCCCCGCAACACCGCGCAGAGAAGCACGACGGTGTCCCCCGCCTCCCGCTGGCTCCCCCATCCGGGATCGCCGGGTCACGGTGGGTCGCTCCGAGCGCTGAGGCAACCCCTGCAGAACCGACCCATGCTGGGTTCTGTGCCTCGGACAGCAGCGGAAGAAGTCGGTGGACGCGGAGGGCTTCGGCCAGGGAGGGCTGCCTCCAGGGGTTGAGGCCGCCAATGTGGAGACGCTGGAGGGCAGAGGGCAGCGAAGCGTTGGAGCGTTGGGTTCCACAAAGGCTTAAATGATCTTAAATGCTGAAAGATGTTCAGTTCTAACCGCACTTGGCGGCCCCCGAAGTTGGGGGGGTTGCTTGTTGAGAGGTCAGCTGGCCAGTCGGTTTGCTGCGGTGGCAGCCTGTTTGAAGTCAACGCTGGCCAGTTCCCAAAATGGTGGTGGATACGGTCAACACATTGGACCGATGACACGGATCTTCGGCACAAGAACCCAATGATCAAAATCCGGTGTTGGGGTCACGGGTTCCTGGTTTTGCAGATTGGCTGATTGTTTAAGGTTCATTTTGGGTAGACGTATGTTTAGGGTTGGGGGAATATTTGATTTTATAACTACCTAACTGTGTATATATATATATACAATATTACAATTAATTGTATGTATATATATGTTATATATATATAATTATATACTTACTGAGCCAACCACAGCCTTTTAAACTTGCTGGTATATGTCGGATTCTTGCTTTCAGACTTACTTGAAACTCTTGGGTCTCCAGTGGCACTGGTGGAGAACGTGCATTTTCGGCTTGCTTGCTCTCCGTCCCCAAAGCCTGAAGTGACTTCAGCAAATCGGCTTGAGCATGTCAGAGATGTGGAAGCAAACACCTCGAAGCCTACATACTCAAGGTGACCTCTCGTCTCGGCTGCGTTAAATCTATCGAGCAAAGCAGCAAAGCATCTCGAACTTTTTTGAAAGGGGATACCCCACCAACTTCTGGGGCTTTGGGCGCCATGACGGTGAGCTCATGCAGCCAGCTGCCAAGTGGAGCGGCTGTCTTGACGTAAATGCATGCAGATGCGCGTGGAGTGTCCCCTCCAGTGAATGAACGCAAGGAGCCATAGCGGCTCCTTTCACCTGGCCTGAGTGTTTTGGATCACACCCAGACTTCTTGTGCATATCCTCAAACTTCTTCGTGAGGGAAGGTTTGATATAGTCAAGTTCGCCCTGACCTGGTGGTGGCTCCTGCTATCACTATCCAGTAGTATGTTTGGAGATTGTCCAGGTGGTGCTGCTTGGCGCAGCTTGGCGCTGCTGGGCGCCGTAGTGCTGCTTTGAGGCGGAGCGCTGCTTCGCGCTGCTTGGCGCTGCTGGGTGCCATAATGCTGCTTTGCTGCGGAGCGCTGCTGGCTGCAGCCAGTGAGTGAGCCAGACAGCCAGACTCTTGAGTCTGAAATCTATAATAGGCTAGCTATCATTGCAAGGTCATGTAACCTCTTGGTCTCCAACGCTATCTACTGTGGCTTTCATCCATCGACTGTTGGATTCTGGCTATCGGTGCCGAATCTTTTCTGCGGGTGTTAGATGAGCTTCTTCTCACGCGCTACGGGGCACCTGGCCAAGAAGTGTCGCGTTGTAGTTGCGCAGAGTAAAAAGGCATTGAAGCCTTTGTGAAGAAGAGTTTTGTTTCCACTTTAGCGCTCCTCTATTTTTTAATTTGGAAGCATCGAACAAACATTCGACCCGCAGTGGAACAACCATCGACACTTGTAGTTGCAATATCAGAAGAACATCCGACCGACACTGAACGCGCTCGCTCTCCTTTTCCTTGCCCCCTTTGTGTTTACTCTTGAGTATTTGCGTTTACGCTCCGATGCACGCCGGCGAGGCCTCACCTTGACAACCTCCCTTCTTGAGCTTCTGTTTTGCGCCGGATTCTGACCATCCATGTTCCAAGGCCTGCCCCCCACGCACTGGCCGCCTGTTTGGCTTTGTCCGCGCCTGGTCGAGGCAATCCACGTGCCTCATTGCTCTGTCGTGTCCTTTGGTTCGAGTCTGGATGCGAGCGTGTTTGAACTTTGTGGTACTTGTGATTTGTCCACGCTTGGTCGAAGCGCCAGTTCCATTGATTTCGACGACGACAAGTCTTGTACTTTTGGACGTACCATTTTTTGAACGCCGTTCATATCTTGTACTTTTGGACGTGGTTTTGTGTTGATCGCATTTTTCTTGCGGCCACGCCGATCAAACTAACACAGCCTTGTTCTGAGGGCTGTTAGATTTTATGTCAGCTGCCTTCCTCCCCCTCCTCCTCCTCCTCCTCCTCCTCCTCCTCCGCCTCGTCCTCAACCAACAGCTCCGCACCGGACCTCCGCAAGTGCCAGCACTGCGCCCTGGTCCCCTACATCCCCCAAGCCTCCGGGACTGCCGGACCTCGACGCACAACACACAACCACACAACATGAACACAAACACTCAATACACAATACAACAGCAAACAGACAAGCCACAAGCACAATCACAAACAAACAACCACAACCACAAACGCACAGTCGCAAACACACAGCCACAACCACAAACACACAAACACAACCACACAACCAAAACCACAACCACAAGCGCACAATCGCAAACACAACGACAAACTGACAATCATAAACCCACTATTATACCACACACAACCATAACCCCACACACAGCAAACGTCCATTCACAAACACAACTAAAAACACCCTGACGCGAAGTCCTTAACATGAAAAACCCTTCGAGCCCCAGAACCCACAAGCAAACCACAAAGCCCACGACCATGGCAACATGCTCCGCACCGTGCAATCGTCATGGTGGGGGTCACTATATTGAAGTAAAGTCTGGAAAACAATCTGCTGCGCCTGGAAAGACGAAGGAATGCACACAGCCTCAAGGCCTCAAACCAATTTTGTCCACACAGGATGGCGCATAGTTGTTGCAAGCCCAGTCGAATTGTTCTGCACATAGCCCTCCACTCCCTCCCTCCCTCCCTCCCTTTGATGTTCTGCAACTCCGAAGTCTCTGAATCAAACCATATCCCCTGGCATGACTGACGGAATTGCCAAACCTCCGACAATACGTTCCCACAACGCGATGTGCCCTCGACTTTTGACAGCAGATCCGCCGACTGCCGACCGCCGACAATTTTGCGCAACGTATCCGGGACGTTCCCATGCACGACGCACTCTCGACGCTCGCGCTCGACCGATTCGCCGACAGTTTTGCGCAATGTATCCTGGACGTTCCCACGACACACTCTCGACGCTCGCTTTCGACCGATTATTTGGTTTCATTTGTGGCCGGCGTGCGTCCTTGTTTTTTTTACGTCCCAGAGTCACGTTTTTGGGCGTTTTGGTGCGCATCTTTGAATTTTGGCGTTTTGGTGCTCATTTTTGAATCATGATATTCCATGCATGAGTTGATGGATGGAGACAATATGTTTTACCGAGCTGGCATGTTGGTGCATCAGACGCATTTTTCAAGTATGTTGAGAAAAATTGTTTTTACCACGCCGCATTTCTTGCGCAGGAACGGCGATAGCACACACACCTGCGTCACACCTTGGAGCGAACATTCCACCGTAGGACGTCAACGATGTGTCTTCATGCCATGGTGAGGAGTATGTTGCCATGGTCGTGGGTTTAGTGTTTTTCAATGTTGTTTGCGGTTGTGTGCTCGTGACTGTGTGTGCGGTTGAGGTCCAGTAAAGTGCTGACTGCAATCTGGCACTTGCTGTTGAGGTCCGGTAGTGCCCAGGGCGAACTGGCATTTGTTGTTGGGGCCCACTGCGATGTCGCACCTGCTGTTGAGGTCCGGCAGCGCCCGCTGCGACCTCGCAAAAACCGGGCAGTGTCCAGTGCGATCTAGCGCTTGCCGTTGAGGTCCGGTGACCGACAGCGCCCCTGGATGGCAGCCCTTTCGCTGATGCTCTCGTAGACTCTGCAGCAAAGGGAAGGAAACCTGTCACTTAACACTGGCCTCCTTTAAAGGCCCAGCTTCAGTCGCCAAACAGCACCTTTTGTGACTGCTGCCGTCATGAGTCATACCGCTGTCATGACTCATACCGGTGTCATGACTCATACCGTTGTCATGATTCATGCTGTCGTCAGGAACCCTCATCCATGCATGACCACGCTGTCATTGCGAGGTGCGCAAATGCGCCTTCGTGCTTCGTCGACAAGGGGATTTGTCCAGTCTGAGCCTATATATAGCTCGCGTTAGCGGCTCTTGCCGCTGTCTTGTTTTGGTGGCTGTCCGTTGGCACTGTCCATGTCCAAGTTCTGCATTGTTCATGCTTGCTGTTCCCACTGCCGTGGCCCATCCTAGCGTCACTATAGCCTGAATGAGTCATCCTGGTGTCACGAGCCAGTTTGCCTTCACCAATCTTTACTCAATGATGGTGATGAGCACTGAGAAGTTTGCAAGTGCCCTGCTTGAGTACCTTGGTAGATCTTGGTTCTTGACCCCATGTGTTGCTTTGTTTTGTTCGTGGTGCTTCAATTGTTGCTGCTTTGTTGTGCTCCTTGTCCTCTCAGGTCGCGTGCCTGCATGTGCGAGAACATTTCGATGAAACTGGACTACCTGTTCCAGTCCTGCAGCGCACGCCGCACACCCAAGTGCCTTTTTCTTGCCTTCGATGATTTTCCAGCCCGCGCAGCGCAACAAGTTGCAGGCGATGAACAAAGCCGATGCACGGAAGGCGGTGAAGAAATTGGTGACTCTGAAACCAAGCAGGCCGCGTGTGAAAAATTCAGGAGGAAGTTACAGAAGCAAGATACCAAGACTGGCTTTAGCAACCTGTGCAGGTGCTTTGTTTTCCTTTCTTGTGTGGTGTTCGAAAGGGTTAATGGCAGACATCGCCGCTTGCACACGAACTGAGGAAGTAAATCTTCACGGATATCAAAAAGCTTCGGAGGCTGAAGTCTTTCGGGGCCTGCAACTTTTGGCGGCTTTACCGCCAACAGTATAGCCAATACCCTCTGAAGGAGGACCGCGCATACACAGAGGTGGGCGCGGGCACGATGCGAGGTCTGAACCTCATGCTGCTTGGCCTGAACCGGTGGAAATTTCCGACTGCCTTTTGCTTGCTGGTGACAGGGGATGATTTGACACCACGCCCTCCCCCAGAGACATTCCAAACACATCCGGCTGGGTGTTTGGGTGTCCCCTTGGTCCTGCACGCCTGCATCTCTCTGTCGCATGAGGGCCAGGTCCCAGTGTTGCGCGAAAGAATGTAAACATTGTGGTGGCATGCTGCTGGTTTGTGTGTGTGCTCACTTTCTTTTTGCTCAACTTCCTTGCGCTGCTTCTTTCATTGTGCCAACATATGTTGTTTGCCTGTCTGCCTCATGTATCAACTGAGGTTTGGCTGGCCGCTTCACTTTGCAGAGTGTGACGAAAGTGTGCCTTGCATGGAGTTTTACTCCATGTACTTACAGAAACTGCAAATGCCCCAGCTCTCCGTTGCAAAGCCTCGGACGCTGCGCCAGTAGAGGCAGCAAAACTTGAGGCGCGAGAGTTTCTAAACACCCTGGAGGGCAAGGCATTCTCTCTGTGCGAGTGGCAGAAGGCAATTGCTTATCTCCGCTCGGAGAGTGAGATGTATTTGCGTGGCCGCCGGTGAACGGGCCCAACCAATGCCTGGCCTCAACCTTTTGCTTGTGGCCGTTGAAAAGTGCTTTGTAGCGGCTAGCAGCGCTGTCCGGTGAACCGTTGTCACATTGTTTGGGTTTTGTCTGCTTTTGCTGGTGTGCCGCCGCCTTTCGTAGTTGCCACGCGTGAGTATCGTAATTGCGCAGAGGTTGGCGCGCGCAGTTCCTTCTTTGCAACCTTTGTTGTAGCAGACACAACCAGTCGTGTAGGCGCGGGCTGCAGTGCACACGCCGTCGTAGAGCATGTTTTTTTGAGGCAAACTTTGTGGATGTTGTTTTACGTAGAAGAAATGTGCTGTTTGGAGCAGACACAACCAGACGTGTTGGCGCCGACGTACTGTAAATTTTCACAGCAGACCCAGCGGGCAAACCCATCGTTAGAACTTTTCATTGTCGTTTTGTGTTAATCATTGTTTAGGCCGCTGTGGGCTGTGACTTCTGTGTGGGAACCACCTTTTTGAGGTCACATGTTGGATTGTGTTCTAATCCCAAACACAAAAAACACATTCCAAAACGCAAGCCGCGGTAACTCTCCATCACACATGGTAAAGTACGGCTACGTGACAGAACGCTTGGACGCGGAGGGTCGCTGCACGCCCATGTGACACCCCCTGATTGTGGACCAATGGTGGCGGCTCAGTACGCCGCTCCGGTTGCTCAAGGACCGGCGAGAGAGTTGTTGTCGATCTTGTGGCGAGCTTTGTTTTGTAGTTTAGTCCGATGAAATTCTTGGGGTCACCGCGCTCCCAGGCGCTCCTTGCTGAGAATCACATTTTGCGATTGGGATATCTGAGCACGTTGATATGTCCGGCATCCTCGTACCCCCAATGTCCCAGTTGTGCACTGCGAGTGCGCATGTGGGTGCCATGGTCTTGGGTCCACTTGGGTGTTTTTTTTGCAGCTCTTAATTGCGCAGAAGGCCACGACCCCCCTGTTTCCAGTTTCCTGCTTTAAAGGCAATCCTTTCTTTCAGGGTCCGTCAAGTTCGGATCAGCGAGCCAGAAGGGGGGATTGCCGATGCTATGTCGTGTGTGTTGCGCAAGTATCATGTTCTGTGAAGATCCGATTGGCGCCTTCGATGTTTTAAAGCCTTCCGCCCAGGCATTTTTCTGTTGGGCGTGAAGTTTCCAATGCATCCCTACTTCAAATCCAAAATGCTGGCTCCAGCTTTTTAGGGTTGGATGTTTTTAGGCAAAATGAGTGCCACAAAAAAACGGAAGACAAGCTTGGCGTGGAATGGGCCAGAGCAGGCGCATGTCACTTTCTCGAGAAGAAGCCGAAGGCAAGCTTGATGTGGACCAAATATGTGTTAGTAACAGTATGTCCCGCCGCGCGGGGTTCATGGTGGTTTTGTGAGATAGGGGGACAGGGGGGGCAGGGCGGTCATTAATTCTTTTTCCCTGCAGATGGCTGGAACAAAAGCCCATGCGGCGTATGAGCGCTACAAGGTGGCCACCACAATTTCAGAGGCGAGACATTTGGGCGCAAGCACGAAGTGCTTATCTTGGGATCTCGCCCGAGGACATCGCATTTTGAATGAAAAGTGTGGGAAGCCCGATAAACCCGCTTCACCTTGATTATGCCAGAGCATCTGGCATATAGGGTGCTGGGCACGGCTTTGGGGTTCCTGTGTGGAATGACTGCTGAAAATGTTGGGCGCCTTGCGAAAGCAGGGAGTGTGGGGATAGCGGCCATTCTGGTTCTTTCGATCGGGTTGGAAGGCGCAGGACATGACAGACGCTGCCTGGAGGAACAGATCAACCTAGACGTTTAGCTGTGTGGAGAGCCGTTTCTTTTTATTTTGTTGGACGTTGCCAGGCAGTTAGGCCATCTTATGTCACAATATGTCACGACATGTCACAACATCACGCAGTACAAACCCACACTTGGAAGCACACACAAAGGTTATAGAATCCAAGGTTAATCTAAGTAACATCAATGGCACCAATGGACAAGTTCCTTCGGCCTTCCACGCTTTAGCGTCGGCGATGTGCGCTGGTCCTGGAGAACTTTGACCTTTGAATCGAAGGCCGGCTCTGTGACTGGAGTGGGAGAGAGGGAGACAGTTGAGCAACGTCATAGACCTCTATGAAAAGATTCAGCTAGGGCTTAAGATTAATCTTTGCAAAAGGAAAGCTGCAGCTGGGGAAAGCTTGGCGAAAGGTTTGGAGAAAGGTTCTTTTTGAAGAACAAACAGCGTTGCGAAAGGGTTGGCGAAAGAGGGTTTCAGTTTGATACTTTTGTCTAGTATGATGTGTTTTCTGACTTCTTTGGGTAGTAGTTCACTCAGCTAGCAAATCCTCCAAAGATTAGGCGAAAGGTTGGCGAAGATAGCACGAAAGGCTTTGTTGCAGATTAGGAATGGTTCCCTTTGCTTGGGAGACATGACAAAATCATTTCCTCCACCACCTTTAGGGCTTTAGGGCTGTGGGGGTGTTTCCTTGAAGAAGCGTGAGCTATCCCACTTCCAGATACTGGTAGCTTCCAGTCAAAGAATCCTCAGCAGCGACACCGGCAGAAAACTCACACATCACACAGGGAGACGAGTAGGCCCCAGCCCTGCACCTGGGTGATCGCTCACTCCAAGCATATCGCCCAAGGCAGTGCCACCAAGAGTTCCAGGCAACAGTGCCATCTGGATTGACTGGAGGGCCCGGCCGTATGGTGTAACGGTTTGATGTGAAACAGGGGGATGTTGCCTCCCGGCTGTAGAGGATTTGTTGGGGGTGAGTTTCGGGGCCTTTACAACTTCCCAACCTTTTCCAAGTTCGGTTTAATGTGATGTATGTTTAAGGTTTAGTTTTGGCCCCAACGCGTCGACGCCAAACGCGTTTGTTGGCCTGACAGAGAGAACGAGGGCAGCTGGAAGCCAAGGAAATCCGTCATCTCCAATAAATACCGTTTCTTTAGCCCGCTATAGGTCTAGCAAAAGAGCTAAGTAGGCGGCTACTTAACCAAGCAAGGGCTACAAAGTAATTCGATGTAAAACTTATCAGTCGAATAAGTAGGTAACATGTCTTATGGAATGGAAGCTTGCGCCTCCACCTTCCAAGGAAGACACGAACGTTTTACTTACAATAAACAGATGGACCGATAGGGTGTGTTTTGTTGGATCCCAGAGCCCACACGGCTCAGTAGCCCCAAAGGTTCATTGACTGAGCCCACATGAGGTGGGCCACACAACGTGCTAAAACTCTGAGCGTATCAGGGCCTTGCAGGGTAACAAACGTTTTCAACTGGAAGCAAGTCGTCCTTATTGGGGTCCATCCTGTGATGGCTTTTCAATGTGGCAGTGGTTCGCCCCGGAACCCTGACGCCTCGTAGAAACGACGGCTCTCCGTGTCGGGTCGCTCGATCCGCATTCTTCATTTTCGCGCCCCCAAACGCACAGGCGGCGCGGGCGACTGCCAGGGGCTGGTGACGCAACTCTTCCTATCGCGCTTGGCAGAGGCCGGTCACACGGTGTGTCGGCAGGGCGGTCGCACCGTGGGGTGGTCAGGGCTCTCACTTTTCAATATGGGTGACTGAATTCGGAAATTTTCTTCCAGCGCGACCAGCTTGAATCTTGAACGCGACATTATGCACTTAGTGCTTCAGCGCGGCCGATGATGCATCAAGACTACACAGCGCTTTGAAAGCAGCTTCCAGCATTTAGGGTGCGCAAAGCTTGGATTCCGATAGTGTGGTCACAAAATTCCAATGTGTAAGGCGAACCTTAGATACCAACGCTCCCATAGAGAAACAAATAGGCAGGGCGAGAATAGGCGTACGCAAACATTGACAGGAACACGGACATGTATACGAGCACTTGACCATAAACCATTGAGTTGTTCGATCGGTCGCGGTGATGGGGAAGAAACGGAGCCATGACTTGACAGTTGCCAGAATGGAAGCGCCCAAGGCGCGCAGCGCCTGTGCTCTGTTTCTGTCGGAAAAGTACCCTGAAATTTCTTCTCCCGGACGGCAGAGGGAGACCTTGTCACAGATAGGGAAGATGTGGCGAGAGCTGCCAGAGGATCAGAAGAATGTGTTTGAGGAACGCTCGAAAGCAGAGTTTCAAAGGAAACAAGAGCATGTTGACAGGACACTGGATACGCTGGTCACCCCACTTGCTTCATTGCCAGCTTCGTCAGAGACAACTTTCGGTCCGTATCAGCTCTTCAAGTCAGAAGTTTTTGGCGATTGTCCAATTTCAAGTGGGTCCTTTGGCCAGGTGATGGTTGTTCGGGACAAGGGCTTCCTCAGTTTCGCCCTTGTCAAAGTGTTCAATCAAGAGCGTGAGTTTCACGCCGAGACAAAAGTTTACAAAGCTATGCTAGAGCACTTTGGAACAGGGATGTGGCACGGGGTGATGCGTTTGATTTTGTCCAGCTCGTATCCATCAGTTGCACCCTGGATTGTCCTTCAATTTATGCCGTGCACCTTGAAAGCTCACTTGGCAAATCACGGTTCGTTGGGGGCAGAGGAGCTTGCCGCATTCTTCTCTCAGCTGAAGTACGGACTGCAAGCTTTGCACAGCAAAGGGTTTGTGCACGGCGATATCAAACCTTCTTGCGTGATGATCGACATTCACAGGCGTGAAGCGCGCTTGGGCGATTTCGCAATGTCTCTAAAGATGAAGGAGGTGGACCCGTCAGACACCTTCTACACAGGCCCCTATCGTGCCCCAGAGCTGTGGGGCCACTTCAGCCTTCCAGGCGGGGTTGGTGTGGCCACTGAGACATGGGCCTTCGCTTGTTGCTTGGTGGAGGCCGCAAGTGGCAAAGTTTTGTTTGCCAGCTTTAGCGCCTTGAGTGACTTTGTCAAAGCTGGCGGGTGAGGCTCAAAAGCAGGCAGCTTGAGAAACTTGTTCTTGTGCATTGGAGCAGAGCCCTTCGAAGGCCTCGAAGCTGGTGTGCTCCAACCCGCACTTCGAAGGTTGCCGCTTGATGACAGGAAGCGATGCGCTGAAGGTCCTTGGGTATCAGCCTGCAGGCTTCGTGAATTTGAGCCTCTTGACGGATGGAGCGCAGCTCACAATGGCTGGCAGATCGATGAAGAAGCGCAATGCAAAGCTGTGCGTGACGACGGCCTTGGCACTGCGGAAGCTTGCAGTTGAGTGATGGCCAGGAGCCCCTAGCAGCGTCCTTGCTGTAAGGCCAGGAGCCCCTAGTAGCTTCCTTGCAGCCTTGAGAGCCTTCAGGTTGAAACATTCGATGTCCGAGACTAAGCTTGCAGCAGCAGTCGGTTGAAAAGGGCTCAATTCAAGTTTGGTGGTCTGCTCATGTTCTCGGTGTCAGCCGGTGCTCACCACCCGCCCAGCACCAACACGGTTAGCAAGAATGAGGCACGTCTTCTAGTTGTCCAGGCTCCTATGCAACTAGGGCGCAGTATGTTGCCTGTTGGGGGAGGAGTCCCGGGAAAGGTGTACTTACCAAGCCCAACGACAAGCCCCTCGACAAGGGACGAAGGGTGGACCTCGCAGGCCCACCTGCACCGCCTTGACCAGGCCTGAGAGCGGCCGCCCAGCTGCGGTGCCCAGCCGCCCATCTGCCGGCTGCGCTTGCGCTGCGCGCGCAGTAAAAGAACCGTCCGACCCGGGATTAAGGTGGACCATTGGACGATCACACAATCACTATCTATGATCTATGTGCTATATGTAACATATTTATATATATAGCTATCCTTGTAACGTTTGGGGTGGTGGCAAAAAGTTTGAACTTTTATTTCCAAGGGTTTTGGCTGAGCAAGTATATAGCTTTATATTAATATATATATATATATACACAGTATAAATATATATATATATATTTAATTAATTTGTGTTACAGTGAGTTATTTATGTTATTTCTCCCCGCTTCCTGGAGCAGCGACTCGAAGCTTGGGTTGGCTGATTTTCGCCGCATCCCCATTCTCTCGGTCTGAGATCCGGGTGGCGAATGTGGATGGCCAAGAGACCGATGGACGCTTGGATGAATGGGATGAATGGGTTGCTGAAGAGGGGGACGACCGAATTTAGCCTATAAGAACTGGATCGGGCAGTGTCCTGGAACTGCTTTCTCTTCAACACGCACTCTCATCTCGTTTGTTCGACCAAACTTTTGAGTTGGAGTGAACTTGGCGACTTCTGCTGCGGGCCAGCCCTCACTCAGCCTTTGCAGCATGCTGTACCCCACAATATGTTTTAAGTGATCTAAGTGAGCACCACAAATCATAAGTAAAATGGAACATAGGTGAAACAGAGTAAAACACTACACTCTGAGGATCTTCCAACTTTCAGACAAACGATGTGTTTGGTGCCCTGCCTATGTCCCATGTGTTCTTCCATAGTATGATAGCCGGTGAAACCGCCGGGCGCTTTCCCACAATCAGTGACAACACCATCGAACATTCACATCCTGGAAGTGGGGAGGTGTATGGATCCACAGGATCGAAGGGATCCACAGGAGCCGCCGTCCTCCGGTGCTGTGTTCAAGTTGGGGTTCCTGGTTTTGGAACAGTCCTTCGTCCAGGACAAGGCTTTGCAAGGGCCGCCATCCTGAGAGGTCTCAAGGCAGGGGAGAAGCAGATGTTTCGATGTTTCTGCTATTGATTCAAAGGACGTGTGATACGCAGAACTGCCAAGTCCAGCACATTAATCACTTCCTGGAAGACAGATGTTCTTTGCCCAATCTGGGAAGATCTTCTTCGCATTCGCATTGGCCCTGTAGCGCACTCTTGTTTGGATCTCCAACCCGAAGAGTGTCTTGCACGACGACTCCGACCGAGCAACCGCAGGCGTGCGAGCGACTGGTGGCCGCGAGCGGTGGAACATTTGCTGTCCCTTGGTGGACCGCAACCAGTGGGGCGATGGAAAGAGTATTCCTGGTGTTGTGGGGAAAAAAAAAGGTGGATGGTTTGTTGTGTCTAATTTATGAGTGAATCCCCTGGCATGGGAAATGGTTTTCCCGGTTCCTGGTCCTGGACGGCAAATCCAAGTATTCCTTGGAATAGAACAGGATGGGTATGGTTGGAACTCCGTTCACGATTAACAAACACATGTGGGGGGAAGGCAACCTGGGATTGTAAGCACTTTGCACCTCACAGTCCAATGACGCCAAGCCTTTTTGCCCGGAATTGGATTGACAGGAGCATGTTATGATGGCAGAATCTTCCTCAAGACTCCAAAGAACCTGGCGGTCTTGAGAATCTAGAAGCATTTTGGAATAGGTGGGTTTGGGACAGTCATTTCTATGGATCCCTTTCTTTTAGGGCGCGGATACCGTAGGCCGTCATACTTTCATCAGGCTTTGAGGGTTAAGAGGAACAGGGGTGAGGACTCCCTGGCAGTGTTTTGCGATTGTTGTCTTATTTTTTACCCGCCCTTCTGCGCCTACTTACTCAAGTTGGACGTGGGATAGCTCACGCTCGCACAGACACCTTTAGTTCGATTCAAAGAAGGTGTCAGCAGATCCTCTTTGACGTGCCTCACCGTCCCAGGTGCTTAGGCGGAGAAAACCGGCTGAATTCCGAGTAATCGGATCATGGACTGCAGTGCCTCTCCGGTCGTTACCCGGTGGTTTAGGCCCGTGGATCACAGCATTCACGATCAAATTCACGTGTGGAGACTGATCATGCACACCTTGCAGAAAAAACACCACCAATTACAGAGAGATCACTTCGTGAACCACTATGAAGCACCACCATGAACCACCCGCGCGCTTCGGAACATCATGAACATCGAGAATCATGTGAATCGAAAAAGCGATCTTTCACTGCACGCAGCAGCACGTGCTCACATGTGCAGAATCGCCCCGAGCTTGGACACGGTCTCCACGGCACACCGTCCCTTTTCGACGCCACCGGTCCCCAGGTCGGCGACACCGTGAGCATCGCGGACCTGTGCGGCTCGGAGGATGTGAAACATCCAAAGGTTTCGACGAGAAACAGCGGCGGCGTTTGGGGTGGGGATTTGAGGCAAACCGCGAGCTCGTTTGCCAAAGACTACCTGTGGTTCCAGTTCGACCAAAGCCATCTGATCAACTAAAATTAAAGCCATAAACCTAGGACACTTAGACACCTTGCTTCCTTACTACTCGTGGTTTGCCTGCGATCCACTGGCGTGGCGACTCCTTCAGTGTGGCGAGGGGAGATGGGGCCGTCCCGTGCGCTCGCGTGACGCGGGCGGAGGAGGTTCACCCAGACGCGAGCGGACTGCCACCCCAGACAGACCCCCCCTGGCACCACCACCCCTGGCCGTTTTGAAGGCAGTCCGGACTGGCTGGCCTGATTGGGTCGTGTCTGGGATAGGTGGAAATTCTTGGACCATCTTTGACCATAGTGCAGGGGGAAAACCGAAGGGTTCATGGTCCAAACCGAAGGGTTCGGTCCCTGACGTTCTGACGTGACAATGTCCACGTCCTGTGTGTTTGGTCGTCACTGGAAGTGCCGGCACTGAGGCATCGACCCAGTGGATTAAGGCCACCAATTGTTGACGTCCAGAACGTCAGATGAACTGTTTCGGATATGTTCAGATTTCTTAGATCTATTCGATCAAATCAAATCTGCGG